ATTGTGGAGAGGACTTTTTGCTAAGGAAAAAAACTCCAGGAGAGAATTGAAAAGCGCAAACCTTTTTTCGGATCTTTCTTCGTGAAATTAAGGACGGATTTATTTTTTCGCTTTTTGGAAAAGGTGTCTTTCTAGCACAATAGTCGTGTGGTGCGCTCATTGAAGGACAAATGTTGGTCCTAAATATTTGGCAATTTCCTGGATTGAGTATGATTGATTTCTGATAAATCTTAAAAACTCAAAGCAATGGGTTCTACTGCTACCCACACATCACAAATTATTCGCTTTTTTTATCACAAAGAGATAAAAATACGTTTATGGTCAGTTTCTGACTTACATGTTCCATCCAACTTCTCCAAATCACATATGACCAACATAACCCAAAAAATTCTGGAAAATCAACATTCCCTATTCCTATACCTATTACCTCTTCAATCTGACTTCCCAAATCCCAAAAGTCCACGTAGACTTCGGGAAGTGCCCGTTGGCTGCGTGATCGTTGACCCAATTTAGGTGGCTCGCAACTAGTTCGCGAGCTATTAGCGGTGTGCACGGGAAGACAAGCATAAAACTGTCAGAATTGACATGAATGACGTCATGATGCCATTTTTAGGCACGGAAATGTCATTGTCAATGGGAGTTTTTCGGAAAATCATCTAGAAATACTTCATTATATATATCCTCTCATGCACTTTGAAAAATTTTCATTCTTTTGCTTAAGAAGAAGAAAGAAAGAGTCCATAGTGAGATAGTTCTTTGCCATGTAGCAACATAGCTGCTCGCTTGATTCTAGAGAGTGATTACGCTTAGTAAGGTTTTACCTCAAAGAGCCCTTCTTTAGATTTATGGACTGAAATAGCAAACGATTTGTAAACTCAAAGTTAAAGGGTTACCGTGGCGCCGCCCAGGTGATGGTGTAGCTCTAACTCAAAAAAATGAAATGAATCCAATCAAATTCTTACCAATTTATTATGCTAAGCCGCAAAAATCGAAGTTTTGCAACCTCCAGTAACTCCAAGCAATTTTCACTATTACGAATCTTTTTCGACTTTCTTAATGGAAAAAATTTTGATTTGAAATATGGAACTGGAAATTTCTAAAGAGATTGAAACCAAAGATATCCAGGTTACACCTGCTTTCGGATTTTTCAGCGTTAAATAAAAATACTAAATGATATAATTAAATATTATTTTTTTTAAATTTAAAAGCATTACCATTGAACGAAATTAAATGAACAAAAAACCATGAATTCGTCTAAAATCCTTTAACTATCGCCAAATGTGCGTTTCTTTACAACTTGCAGAAGTTCGATTTTAAATGTCACTGAAATCTAGTCCATTTACGGACGCGACCCATCACTGACGTTTAGTTAATTCTCTATCCAGCTGTGATCTTTCACTTTCTCGCGTTCACCTCATTTTCGAGGTTTGAATAGAAATGCACGTTTAGAACGTATCCTGATGATTCAAAGGGGAACAGGTGCGCTTCATATCCTCCTCTTCAACCTCTTGAACCCTATCGTAAAAATCGATCGATAAACCCATACAATCCATATGTGAACCGACCGAATCGTATAATTACCTTCCTATAAGCACCGGTTGGTCAGCGGCCACCACAGGTGCTTCAACGATCTAATGAGGATTTCGATTGCTTCCGTACATAGCTGGGAAAGCCAACGGGGGGATACGGAAATCTAATAGAAAAAAGTTTTTAAATTATTGATTAATTCTATTGATTTTCTAGAGTACACGTGGTCACTCCGGCTGAATTACGATTTCGGGATCATTGGCGAGGTGGAGCGGCTCGCTTCCGACCTATGGATCATATGGGCAGATCGACTGTGAGGTAAAATGAGCTCCATACAGTTTCTATGACGTCATCTTATAATTCTAAAAAATTTCAAGTACCACTACTACATCCGGACATGCAGTACATGGAACAGGTTCTGTAACATCATCACCAGTCACCTCCATATCAGATGAACATACAGGCGATGCGTGGAGAGATTCACCATTGCGAAGAGATCCCCGAGGTTAGAGACGTAGAAGTTTTCAAAACTTTTCTTAGAAATACTCTGAAGTTACAGCGCAAACAATCACTCTCATATTTCTATCCAGCTGATTTATTGTTGATGTTAACGAATTAGACTTGCGTCTGCGTCTCCGCGTTTTGCCTTGTCACTGCTGCGCACTCTAGCTCTCTGTTTTCAAGTTATATGAATCTTCTTCCTAAAATGCTATAAATTCAAAAACTTTAAGTTTTTTTAA